TTTGAAAAAGTTTATAAAGAATTATCTAAATTTTAATGATATTTCAAGGATATATATGTTACATACTGAAATCTGAGAAAAGTTAATAAATTCCAACCATTACGCTGTTTTATTATGCAGTTTTTTAGTGGTTAACAACTATCAATCTATGCTGGAAGACCAGAGGAGCACCATCATTATCAGAAATTAAAAAAAAATAAAATAACATTGAAAATGACATTCGGGAGTGATCAAAAGGTATTTAAGTGCAAATCGCTATCAAACTCGATACGATTTTAATTATACAAATAGTAATTATTGGTGGCAAATAGTAATTTTCTTCTTCTGTTTATTTATAAGACACTACTACGAATTAATCCTTAAAGGGGATAATTAATCATATTTGAAATACGTTAAAAAACATTTCTCTAAGCTCTTGTTTAAATTAGTTTAGTATTTACTATATCACCGTGTCTATGGAAGAAAATATTCATTAGCGTCACATTATTTTTAAAAAGGTAGGCTTACAGCAGCTCATAAAAAAAATACAGTGTTTATATGCACGATGCCTTAATCGAAAGAACCTGTCAAAATTGGTTGATCAAATTTCGTTAAAGAAATTTTGACAGCAGTGAAAGCTCAACAGCAGGGGTTTCCAAACTATAAGTAAAATAGTTGCTTACATTCACTGCTCAATTAATATGGGCGGATTACCTCGAAGTAATCCATCAGGAAGCCTACATGCAACAATGAATGCCAAGGCATCTATCAAAGTAGTTGGCAAGAGATCACGTGAGAGTACGAACACCAGGTGGATAAAACGGATCAACAAACTGCATGCAGAGAACTGGAAAGCAATAACCCAAGACAGGCTCAATTAAAACATTTCCACTATGCCGTTATTGCAAATAATTGGGAAAAAATACAAGAAAAATATATGGAGCGAAACATATCAAATCAAGTCTAATTTTTTACAGGTATTTGAGTTGCTTTGGTTCTGGAATCTTCTAATCACATCCTAACAAGTATCAGATGATAGACGAAATGGATGGGATAATGACACTTCGTAAAAGAAAGGGTGACTGGTTCACGATATAAGAAAAATTTCCAACAATAAATACCGCAAAAATACAGTTTGAACAAAAAACCTTAGCAGAAAAGGTGATTAAATAAAGGGAAAGGGACTGGAGTGATTTCAACTCCTCCGTCGAAGGGGAAGAATGCAATTTATAAAGTAATTAATAAGGGGAGGAAGAAGGGGCTTTTTGAAGGACCCACTTAGAACATTTTATTAACCTAAAAAGAATGTTTTAATTCTCGGTTAACTTCTTTCATTCTCAAGAAGAACTTTTAGCCAGAGGCCATATTTATCATTTATGAAGACCAAAAGAATCTTTTGGATCATAAAATAATTGTTCGCCCTATCAAATCACTTTCTGAAAAATCTATAACTTATTTACAATTATTTATCTTTCGATCTCCAATTATATTGTATGTCATTATTAATGGTTAATATTTAGTTCAAACAGAGGAAACTAATAACAGTGATAATATGCAAACTGCACTTCTATCTTCATGTTTATTGTACAAGCTCCACAAAATGGACGATAAAAAAAAAAAAAATTATTATTCTGTTAATATTCATTAATTTCAATGAACCATATATTAAAATAAAGTACACAATTGTAAGATATTTTGATGTCCCAGCATTAAAACAGAAGTATTTCAATAACTAGTAAAAATTCTGGTAAATTAAGTAGGAAAGATTATTTTAATATAAACGGAAGTGAAACTAAACGTTATAGAAGGTATAACAGATTCATTTAAATAATAAATTGTATGTTTTTCCCACAAGTCTCCTCAGCTAACTTATGCCTTTTCCTTCACAATGCATTTCTACAATTGTATATTTTAATTATTTATTTTGTTATAAATTCAGTGCTCAGGAGCGAATATATTTATACGAAGGTGGAGAGGTTAATATATATGGCACCGGCTTTATAGTTCTGAGGTGTGGCCGCTCGAAAAATCACAGAGCCAAAGATTTCTGGATGAGTAAATAGGTCGGCAAGAGTCTCAAAGATACAGAAAATCATAAATAACACCATTAGAGAAAGAATGTAAGTTAGGAATAATGTACAAGAGATAATGGAAAAAGGAAAAATAAAATTGAAGTGGTATGGACATGTTAAAAGGATGGATAGCGAACGACTTCCCAAAACGGCATTTGAGTCCTGCTGGTAGGAGGACGAGGGTCGCAAGAGAGGAAGACTTCGTATCTAGAGATGTGGCGGGCCGAGGGCTGGCGGGGCACAGGAAAAAGTGGAGGAACCGACTAAGAAAGAAGTTAGGCTGGGGGAAACTTCAATTTAGAAGAAAAGACCTTTAAATAAAAACATTTAAAAAAACCTTTGTAATAAAAAACCTAGCGTATCTGAATTCAATCACATGTAGAATTTCTAGACAAATGGATATTAACTCAATACATATTCAGTATATAAGAAATACCGCATTAAATCGATCAGGTCATAACGGCCAAAGCCTGACTTATACTTCGAGAAAAGAAATATACTTTTTGCTTATGGAGAGGCTGAAGGTAAGAGATAAGAGAATCAAGAATACGATTTCGCAAAGAGAAAGCACAGCGGTTTTTCTTTCCGATAACGAGAGGCGACGCTGATTTTATTTTGATTGTACGTGGCTAGATCTAACTCCGAGCATTTCCAACCAAGTCAAATCACGTTGTTCCTATTTATTATTGCGTTCCTATCCTGTTTTGCACTTGTTTTAGGCACAATGAGGAAAATAAATAAGCTCATGCCAAATTGTTTGAAATTCTACATTCAGTTTTAACTATTTTTTGTTTTAGTTTTTTGCTTCCTCTCCATAAAAGTGTATTAAAGGGAGAAGAGAACGAAGAAGGGCATCGTCATATTTTTTTTTTCGTTTTTGTTTTTTTGTGCTGGTGAGTAAAAGTTTATATTCTATACATTACATTTATAGTTTATATTTTATATTTACATTTATATTTTTTCTGTAGGCATTAAAAACCTTAGATCTTTTCCCGCCTTAACACGACTTCTCTGCTTACCTTAGGCCATCATGATTTTATAACAAAACTATAATCCTATTGAAGTCTATGCGTATCAGTATTTTATTAATTTTAATTAGTGAATGATACAAGTTTATTGTCTGAGGCTATACTTGAATAGTAAAAAGTAAATTAAAATTTAGTTTGCAGGTTCTTGAAAATGGCTCCTGAAGCCGAAACGTTGAATAAACATACATGTAATATATAAAAAAAACTGTGTTTTTTTGGTGACCTATGGCCTATAATAGACATATGTTAGATTATTAATTTTAATTTTAATACTTCCATTTTAAAATGAATAAAAAAAACCAAGGCAGTTGATGTTAAACGTCAGAGAGATAATAAAAAGAATAACAATTTTTTCAGAATCAGGTAGAAATAAACAACTATAACAACATATCATTTTTTTTCTTTTTACTCAATAAAATTATAAGATACATGCCTCTTTTTTTAAACATAAAATCCTACTTCATCACCTAAACGAATTGGAAAAATTAAATACAGGTTACTGATTTTTATTTTGTGAATTAGGATGCATAAACATAAATATTTCCATTAAACCAATTTTTATGTTTAATAAATAAAAAATATTGATTTTGAATAAGAACAAATTATAATTTAAAAGTAAGATTAAATATAAGTAAATCAAATTATTAATTAATTAAACACAGTAGAAGTAATTAATTAAAATTTAATATTCAATAAATGCTAAATATTAAAAAAAGCAAGATAAAGGAAAGGTAGTCTATAGCGAAACTGCTGTTATCTTATCTCTTTCACGCCAGTTACATAAATAAACAAACATCAATTGCTCCATTTACAGGATCTAATTTAACAAGTCAATAAATCTTAGAAATAATATAAATAAAACCAGTAGTTTTTTTGACAGTTGACAAAGCGTGAAAAAAAAAAAAAAAAAATATATATATATATATATATACATAAAGATGGGCACATTTATATAAAGCACTTAATTTGGTGCATATGAATATAAATATTTTTTTTTTTATATTCAGAAGAAGAAATATAGATAATATAGAAGAAATAGATAATACCTAATTATGCCTGTAAATATATATAATGGCCATATTCAACCTTGTAAAAGTGAATACGGCTCCGTATTCATGACCATTAAAATGAATACGCTTAAATTTACAAAAGTGAATGGGAATATTTTGAGTCAAAAAATACCCATAATTATAATTTTATGCTTAAAAAAATTAAACATTTATGTGTAGATTTTTTCGAATTTATTTTTGTTATTTTCGAACACCAACGTTGCTAACCATATTCTAAAAGTTTTTAAAAAGTTATTTTAATAAACCCTTAACTGTCCAGAACTTTGTTCTAATTCTTCCTTAATTTTTCTTTCTATTTTGGAAAATAATAAACTACAAATCTTACCTGAGTGAAATAGGGCAAAAAATAAAACCCAATGAGTCATTCTGCTATACCTAATTCTGCCATAAATACAGTTACAAAAGTTGAACTCTTTTTTACATCCTTGTGTATTATTTAGATAATCCTACCTCCTATCAGGTTATTTTCTTTACACGTCAGGATAATAATCCCAATCAGTATGTATTTTTCTTTCGATCAGTTAACATGGAGTGGGGCGATGAAGACAACCGAATAGCTGTTATATCTTCTTACACTAATGGTCTTCCTCGAAAGCTTTAGTTTAGCGATCAGAAACTTTTTACAATTGAAAAATGTAATCACCAAAATGGTCGTGTGTATGCACACAGCTCTAAAAAAGCCCAGGAAGTCATTGGAATAGTGAAAAGAGGTCATCACCATTCCTTAGTGATGGTTTGGTGGGGAGTTTGCTTTGACGGCACTACAGAGCTCCATTTTTGTGAAAAAGGAGTTAAAACAGCCGCTAAAAACTATCAGGACGATATTTTGGAACCTGTGGTCAAGCCTCTAAATGAATCTCTGTTTGCTGGAAGTCATTGGGTTTTCCAGCAGGATTCCGCTACAGCTCAAGTCAGAAGTGGCATCAAAAGAACATTCCGGAGTCCATCTCTGCCTCGGATTTGCCGTCAGGAAGTCCTGATCTCAACCCACTAGATTATCGGCTTTGGTCCGAACTGGAGAGGATGGCATGCCAGAGAGCACACCCAAACTTGGAAAGCTCCAAACAATCTCTGGTCAGAACAGTATAGCGCTACCCTCAAGAAGTGCTGACTACTACTGTTGAAGATTGATCACGGATATTAAATGCATGTGTGAAGGTAAAAGGGGGATATTTTCAGTGATTTATTTTTTGTTTTACTCTCTATAGATGTACATTTTATTTCCTAATAAAGTTTTTGAAAAAATTAATTTTTCTGTTGAAATCTGTATTTATTTCCTTGTAACAATGTTTATGACAGGACAAGGTATACCTGATAGTCCTGGAGCCAGGGTCCAAAAATCGACCTCATTGCAGGCGACGGTTTGATTGTAAATTACGGAAGAGTGTGTTACTCTGAGGAAAAAGAATCTCGTCGTCTGCCGTTCCAGAGCCGCTGCTTTAAAAAATGACGGCAGATTTAATGAATACTTTTATAAATAAATGTAAAACTTTTAAACGAAACATCAAAGCGAAAAATGTTTTCCTTAATAAATTAAAGAATCTTAAATCGTCCGTCGAACTAGTTCATAAACTTTATAATTTGGTTACGTGGTAAGATATACCACCACGTTCAACCAACGCTGATTTTTACCAAATTCGTCAAAAACTGAGACAGATTACTATAAATGTTCCTGCAACTTGGAAATTAGTTCCTTAAGAGGAAAACCATAGAATCAAATTTTGCGTCCACTGAGTAGTGACATTTTTACTGTAGGCCAATTATATATATCGGGATTCGTTATGTCTTTTCTGAAATTCGGTATCATTCAACGCATCGTTTATCAGAACCCTTCGCTCCTGCAGAATCATTCACCTCAAGTTGTGTACAGAAAGGAAGTGATTTCCTATCCAGTCACCTAAAAGTACCCGTGTTTTCAGCAAAAATAACTACAATTAACTGTTGCAAAGCTTTTATTTTTTGTCTTTTCGAGATATGGGATATATTGTAATAGAGATAATTGCCTAAAACCACATGTTATTTATAAAAATTGAAAAATAATGATTTTTCAAATATTGTTCAAGGTGATTATGAAATTGTGTTTTTATGTCATAAAGTAGACCCTACACGGTAATTCATGAATGAACATCACAAGAAGTTCCAAGATTGCCCGCTATCGCTTTTATCATGAAGACCTACAGTGGCTTAATAATACAGTGCGGTCATATGGATTCGATTTCTGATTGGTTGGCCATCTTGGATCGTCCCTTGCTATCTGCTTGCTCTTTAGGCACCTCAAAGCTGTTAAAATTTCATATTTTATTAGCAGTATTTTAGTTCAGAAGCTTAATTTTGTTGTTTAAGTGATAGGTTTAGTTTATTAATAGGTAGTTTTTATTGAATAGCTATACGTTTTAGTGTTTTCAGTTATTGTTTTGGTTTCTTGTTCAGTGATAGGTTTCATCTTTACAGACTTATTTTATTAGTGATATTTTATTTAAAAGTTTAATTTTGTTGTTTTAGTAATAAATTTAGTTTACTAATAGCTAGTTTTTATTGAATAGTTGTACGTTTTAGTGTTTAAAGTGATAGTTAACCTATTCATGTTCAGTGATAGGTTTCATCTTCACAGACTCATATTTTATTAGTGATATTTTGTTTGAAAGTTTAATTGTGTTGTTTTAGTAATAGATTTAGTTTATTAATAGGTATTTTTTATTTGATAGCTATATATATTAGTGTTTAAAGTTAAAGTGACAAGTTTGGTTTCTTCTTCGTAGACTTAAAATTGTGAGTATACTTTAATTTTTTACTTTATTTTATTAATTTTCCTTTTTAATTCAGTGGTAATGAAAGAAAAAGATGGAAATCAAGTTTGAAACTTGGTTATATGAAGACAGTGTCTATAGTTCGAGGCTATTAGCTAACACAATTTTTATCTTGAAGTTATTAGTTTCCAGTATAAAATTGAAATTTTGTTTTCCTTTATAGTTATTGTTACTTTCATCATTAAAATATGAGTATCATTTAAGGTCAATATTATCATTTAAGGATCATCAACTATACTCAATTAAACTATGATTTAAGGATCATCAACTACACTCATATTTTTAATATTGAAAGTAACAATAACTATAAATGAAAACCAAATTTCAATTTTATACTTGAAACCACTGACTTCAAAATACAAATTGTATCAGCTAATAGCCCCAAACTATAAAAATATCTTCTATAATCAAGTTTCAAACTTAATTTCAATCTTTTTCTCTCATAACCACTGAATTACAAAGGAAAATTAATAAAATAAAGTAACAAATTAAAGGATTAAGTCAATTTCGAAACCTATATGAGCCAAATCAACTCAGAGGTGATTTAAGAGGATTTTTCATAGAGAAAAATGAGTTCTGTTGATGAAGAACACATATTTAATTGTAACAATATTAAATATAGTATTCTTAAGAGGTTTATTTTATTTAGAATTAGGATAAATTCAATTGGTAAAAAGAATTTCCCTCATATGTCTATTATTAGCAGTAAATCTGTAAATGTATATGTGCAGCATTTATAAATTTAAATGTCTTTGTAAATAAATATTCGGTTTCATCTTTTTTTTTTTTTATATATATATTCCTTTGTTGATTAAAAATGTTTTCTTTTTCAAGTTAAATTGGATAGTTCTTCAATCAATTGATAATTTATTGTATTTTATCCTTACAGTTTTATGTTTCATTATTAGTTATTTTTACTTGGTATATCCTGTGTGATAAAATTGAAAATATATTATAGCCAACAATCTCTAATTTCCCAAAAAACTAATGAAAAATAAATAAAATAAGAGATGCAATATAAAATATCTACATTATGGTAAGAGGTAAACCATTTCATAAAAAAATATTTTATATCAATGATCAGAAATGAATCTATACATCGAGGATCAAATTTTGAAGTATTTAAAATTTTAATTATAGTGGATTTATAATAGTTAGTGTTGTCCAAAATCAGTCTTGGTGATATACTTTGCAAAATCAAGACTAAAGCCTGCCTAACTTGTTAGACCAAGACTGATAAAAAAATCCTTTTTATGAATAAAAATTAAGTTAAAATAGTCAACCTTGAAATAGTTGTAATAGTAAAACCTGAAAAATTTAGTTACCATATGTAAAGAATTGGTGTAACCAATATCCTTTGGAATTTAACTCTCAATTTTTCATTTGGGCTTAGGTTTCCCATGTCTGACAAATTACAGTAATATATCTATAATAAGAAGCTGATAGGTAACTGGAAGACTGTTGCGAGACTTGCACAAGACCAAGACACCTCATGGTCTCGCATTTGGGCAACACTAGTTATGGTATTCAGTCATAAGCAATATAAATAAATTATATTTATTAAATTTACATTAAATAATTTATTTTTATTAAATTTACATTAAATAATTTATATTTATTAAATTTGCATTAAATAATTTATATTTACTAAATTTACATTAAATAATTTGTATTTATTAAATTTAGATTAAATAATTTACATTTATTTAAAGTTTTTTTTTTCTAAAGGTGAATATTAAGAAGAAAAATAAAAATAGTTTCATGATTGCTGACTTAGAATTGAGTTTATGGTTTTCCAATGAAAGTTAATTTTCACTCAGTTTTTGTTTAATGTTTTAATAATTAATTAATTTGTTTGTGAAATTTGCCAATGAGAGAGTAAGATGAACACAATGGAAATCTTAATATGCCGAAGTTTATTGGAATATATTTTAAAAGAAATTAAACAGAAAAAAAAACAAATATTGTTCTTTGATTTTATTATTTATTTTCGCGTGATATAAGTGATTCATATGCTTCATACAGATTGTTCAACTTCAATTCTATCTCCCAAACCATTCTAGTAAATAGTTTGTTGCAATAATTACTTTTTAAATTGAAATAACAAAGACAGACTATTCAAATATTAGTTTCCCGCCGATCCAATATGGCCGTCCCCTCCGTATGACCGCACTGTATTATTAAGCCACTGTAGAAGACCCTTACACGTTCAATCATTACTGATCAATACTTTCGTGAAGTTTCCACTTTTTTTCTCTCCAATTTATTGTCTACTTGACTTTTTAAAGAAAAAATAGTTGAAAATGGTTAATAATAACATAGACTACGGATATAAACAACTATTTACTTTTATGAAATTATTTACTTAATAACGAGACTTAGGTAAACTAACCTATCTAGTAGTAAGGTTAGTCTCATAGAAAATCGTTTTGACAAAAGTTAGTAAAATATAAGTCTACTACTTACAAAAATTAAGGAAAGGTATTGCGAAAATAATAAATTTGTTGAGGAAAATGGGAAAAGAACTGATAAATATACACAACGTTAAAGTTTTTTTTTTGTAAAGTAAATTGTGAAGTTTCCTCATTTTTTTTTTTTAATTTGTTGCCCACTTGACTATTTAAAAGAAATAGTTGAAGATGGTTTAAAATTATAAACAAGGGATATGAAAAATTATTTAACTATTCACATATAATGAAAATTAGAAATTTATAATGGTTGTGAGGCCTAGGTAACCTAACCTATCACTTCTCGTGAATGAACCTTTGATTTCCCGATGTTCGGAAATCCGCAGCGCACCACCATCAGTACTTCATTCACTACCTTACTAGGGTCCCATTAAGTGACAAACTTAATATTTTTAGCTCTAATATTTACGTTTTCATGAAAATAATTGAAACAATTATTAGGTGTCTTTGGTTTAAACATAAATTTTGGTAAGAAAGATTTAGTTTGTCAGCAATAAATATAAAACAATTAATATGACAGAGGCATGGGAGAGAAAACGATGTCTATAACCAGTTTACAGGAAAAATATATGAAAACTATAGTTTTTAAATTTTTACTTTTCTAAATAAAATGTAATAGAAGGCAATTATGTTTATTAAAATACATCCAATATCACGGAAAAGCGAGAAATAAAAGCTTTGTAACAGTTAGGGTAAGAAATGGACATAGCTAAGGAAATATTTGTGTTTTTTTATAGTAATTATTATAGTAAAAAACTTCTCTGTAGGAGATTTAAAATATCTCCTTTTTTATATTTAATACTTCAGAATTGAAAAAATATTCAATACTGCTTTAAATATTTTTAAAAAACACCTTTTTGTACTATTGATGGACAGAGCTCAGAAAAATTCTAAAATCTATAAAAAACGATAATTACAGTTTTTTTAATTGATTAATTTGTTTATAATTAGTTTATGGAGTAAACATATATATATATATATATATATATATATATATATATATTATATATATATATATATATATATATACGTATAAAATTAATCATAAATTCTTTTCTTGAGATGCTTACATCATAGGTAATATATTATTTTTTTTTAAATTAATTACTTTCAAAAATTGCCTTGAAAAATATATTTTGAAAAAACTTGAAAAATTGCTTTATTCTCAAATCAATTTTATTAACATTATAATGGATGAATATATTTTCAGCTGTAAACACATATACTTTAAGAAAATTGGTAACGTTGGTTACCTTCGTTTCCGAAAACTAGTGGTTTAGGCAATTCATATAATATATTTTTTACGTTCATAATACCGAATTCTCGTCTATTTTCTAGAAATACAGTCTACGGTCGATTGCAAGAGTTAATTTGATGAACCTTAAATTCTGTATCGCTCAATTTTTAATGACCTTAAAAACAACTTTTAACTCTATAAACAGACGCTTCAGGTTTTTGGTTTATTATTTATTTTCAATAATGAACTATTGTATTTAATCAAGAAAACAAGAAGTTAATTTTATAAATCAAAAAGTACACACTTTTTGGTTAATTATATGTGTGTGTGTTTGAAAGACAGAAATTACCTAAAAAACAAAAACAAAAAATTATCAAATTAAACATACTAAGGGCCTGAAGCTAAGAGAATTTATTTAACATTCGTAATTTGACATGTAACAAAATTAATTAATTTAATTAATTAGGATGAACTGGATACCTATAAGGTATTAATTAATACCTTATAGGTATCCAGTTCATCCTTTTTAGTGTTTGACTAGTTAAATGTAGTTGACAAGGGCAATTCAGTCCATAATGATTTTTAATAATTAAAATAGGTTTATCCCCTCCATAATGGCCTAAGGGCTGAAACGTTGGTGTAAATAAACAAATAAAGTAGGACTATAGTGATCAAATATGTGTTTTTTTTTTAATTAAAATTAATTAATTTTTGCGAGCTCCTTCCCCCACATCCTTGAAATGGGGAGGTTATGGATAAACGAAAAACTCACACACACACACACACACATATATATTCATACTATTTCCCAGTAAGTAATTTTCAATTCAAATGTTAAGTACCTCGTAACTGGTCATGAAAGTAGTCCAGACCGGGAATTTAAGTTGCCCTTGAAATATTACTGCTTAAAGCCAACACATTTATCACTTCGATAGACTATTATTTCAAGGCTATAACTCCATAAGATATAATAGAAGTTGTGACAACTATTACAGAAGATGTGAAACAATTGTTTGTTTTTTAAGATTTTGCAAAAAAATCTTCAATTATAACCATAGCTGTAGCTCAGGTTTCGATGAGAAATCAAACACGACTGCCAATGTTCAGAAACAGATGAGAGATCATTAAATGTACTGGACAGGAATTTAAGATTGCATTGAACACTTCAAAGTTAACTGAGTCATGGGAGAAATAAAATAAATCAAATGATTTATTATATTTCCCTAAAGTTGAGGAAATAAAATCATAGTATTCAAATATAACTTTTAAAATTTACAAATACGGCACGATTAAATCAAGCGTAACTTAAAAATGGTATTGTTAGATGTATTTTAAAAAAATTAGAATATTATAATAACATTGAATTGTTTTTAAATATTAAAAAAACAAAACAATTTAAATAGTTCTTCGGGGATGTCATCATCCTTTGGACCTTGATCACTAGTTTGGTACATCACACTACAAAGCAATTCTCCCTCCCCCTTCCCCCCAAAAAAAAAATCAATTTATAATGAAATTCACAAAATATTGGTATCTAATAATGATCTTTTTTTTTTTTTTATGAACTTTATTATTTCTCAAACCTGATTTTTTTTTTTCGACACGCCATATATTTCTCTATACTTCATTCATTAAATAAAATGATTGAGCCATTATTTTGAAGATTATCATCTCCTTCAATGGCGAAAAATAATTATATCCTCCAGAAAAGTAAGGAAAAAGAAATAAAATAAAATAAAATTGTACAATTGATAGTCGATTAAGTCGATGAAAATTTGAAGTTTCTTAATTCCCTAGAAACCGAGAAAAAAATATTTTTGAAATCGGAACATTATGAGCAATGAAACGGCCTATCTGAATTTTCAAACAAGTCTTGGTTTATTATTTTCTATAATGAACCATAGTAAATAGCCAAGAAAAACTATATCGCGTCCTTCCTCACTCTCATAATATGAGAGTAAAGAACTAATATTTACTTAGATCCATATAATATCACCATCTGTCTACTGACATATTATAAGTCCAACAACTTTATTATGACCTCTATAATTTGATTTTTCTAATTACTAAATTAAAATTGCAAATATATAAATATTAAAGATGCATGCTGCATAGAAAGTGTATAAAATTACCAACTTCTCCGATGTCTAATTTCTTTTTAGTTGATAAATAAAAATAAAAATTAATGAGATAACTTTTGATCAACAAATAAAATAATAAATAAAAATTGTTTCAATAATAGATTCTTGGAAATTCATAATAATATATCATGTATGTATGGATTATGTATTGAACTGGAAGTTTAAATTTCTTTTACGCACAGTTAAAATGGTTCAACAAAAACAAACTGGATACAGCTAGTCAAATAATGAACAGTAACCTTTCTCCGAAGGGACAATCCTATCGGCGACTGAAACTGACAGCTGGAAGGTGGCGGCGATGCTGTTTAGCATATGTCAGCTGTTTTAGTCCACAACAACAAAAACGAACAGCACGACACTGCACAACAACCAACACCACCAAACACAACACAGACTAGACAACTACTATCCAGATGATCCTCGTCCGACCTCTGGCTCCCCCACCCTAGCTCCCCCTCGACGTACCGTCGTGAAGATGGCCAATCACATTAGCGAACCCGCAGCAGCGGATCGAGGAAGGAATCCGGCAAACGAGCGAGGGAGGGGATACAACTGGAGGACGACTTCTCTTGTCCTGGCTATAACTTGACCTGCCTCCTATTATCAATTGCAGCAGGAAAACTTAAACTCGTTAAAGCTAGATATCAACACCAAGGAATCGATAATAGATTATTTCAGGAAATAATAATAATAGATACATTTTCTATGATTAACTTCATAATTAAAATGATTAAACATGTGATTCCGGAAGAGACCATCAAAGAATTCTTGATATGATAAATAAATCTAACATACTTAGACCATAGAGAGAGGTCATGATGAGGAAAAATTAATAAAAACCTAGAAAAAACTAAAATTTCTATACCACTACAGCCTATGAAGGGCCTTTCCTTGGTTTCAACACTTCGTAAGAAAATACCGTTTCTTTACCAAAGTATTAAATGTCACAGCCATTTTCTAAGTCTAGGAGTAGGAAACACAATAATCTATCTAAATAACTCCAAAAAAATAATTAACTGAAAAAAAGTAATGAATTATATTAAATCAAAAGCACATGCCTGGTTGTTTTATGTGTAGATACCTTAAGGAGAACCTTTGTTATAATTACCAACTTACTAAAGTCGGCACTCGATAAGTAATCATTATTGACTCAAAATATTTCTGATCTATTGAGAAAACTATGTTAAATAAAAAAAAAAAACGAGGACAACAGAATAATTTCAGGGAAAAAGTTGACCTCAACAGGTTAAAGGAACGAAAAAATCAATAAAAGCTATTTATTATAAAATCATTGCTTCTGTTTGTAACGAGTAAGCGTTTACCACAGTTAAATTTGAGTGTAGCTGGTAAGGTAGGGATGTGCTGTTGATGAAATATTTGACAATCTTTATCACCTCATGTTTATTAGTACTGACAATGATCTATGTTTTTTTTTGTTTGGTTTCTCAGAATTAAAAACTTAAAATTATCAAACTTGTAAATTAAGGAAACCAGAAAAGAAAAAAAAAATTTAAATATATTATTACATATTAACTACCTCTATTATTTAAATGTCTAAAATCTAAACTACATAACTCAAACAATTTTTAACAAGAACCAACATTCATATTGATTTCTCATTCCCTTCAAGTTTTAGTAACTAAGATTTGACTGTATTTTATAGGCTTTCAGAATCTTTTGTTTTCCTAAAATATGTTAAAATAGTGGAATCCATTATATAGTGGAAAGATCGAAGTGGCGAAGAATGGTTGTTAATCTTGTTCGTTTTGAATTCCTTAAATTGTATAGCAGGTATTAACCACACCTATATATTGAAATCACAGGGATGAGGCATTGATAATTATAACATTTAGGTTGGTTTAGATTTTCCAATTATGAAAATTTCTTTTTATAACTTCCACTCATCTAATTCACTTGTCTAATTTATATTTATTTACAACAGCATTAGAACATAGAAACAAATTATCAGTTTTTTCTTATATTCTATGGAACTTGAGAGACATAAAAATTGATTACAATATTTAAAAATTATTGCAATCGCTGCTTGAATTCTTATGGACTCTAAATGAACTTTAATGCTCTTTCAAATTAAACATAGGATATTATTTCAAAAAATGCCTAAATTATGAATCAAAAGCAGGCAAAGAACTCTATTTTACGTGAAATACGCATATATATAAAATCTGATCATACCTCCTCATCCGTTTGTCCTACATTAATAAAAACACATAAAATTTATTTGAAATTTTGTCTACTTTAATATTGTAAAAAATATTATTCACAAAAAAAGTAATCTTTCAGAGGAAGGAGAAAAAAATAACTGATACAAAAGAGAAACGTTAGCTGTTTTTTGGGTATAACCTTGAATGCTCAAAGCAATCTGTATGTTAACTTCAAATTCAGATTCAGAACATATGGAACAACACAGAAAATGTCCTGTTCATTTTTTTTCACATGCAACTACTATTTGGCAAGACCTAATTTGTGACTTTTCCGCTGTCAATATGGTGAATTCTCTTTCAGGAACACATAATATACATCTCATCAAACTTTCAACAGTCAGTTTTCTAGTTAAATGAACCATCACATTTAGCCATTCCGATACAAAATTTCATATACATACATAGCTGTCTTCCAAACAACTGACCAGAGACATGTGTTCAAATAGGAATTATCAAATATTTAAAATGATTTCTAGCTGTTAGTTTTGTCCACAATGAGATGAAATATAGATAAAAACGAGGAGTCGGTAAGTTTTTGACAAGGGGTTATTAAGAATGACAAGAAATCAAAATGTTAATATAGTGCGTCTGATTACACTGTACAACAAAAAACAAATTTTTGAATGTTTCCAGCACTTCATGAGTCAATTCTTACTTACTAATTTGGGTTGATAAAAACAAATATGACAATAAAAAAAATTTTTTAGCTCTAGTTTCTGTGATATACACTAGGTGGAAGTATATCATATTAACGGGTTAAGAGAACAAGATACATTTTAATTATATATGCTAACAAGATTGAAAATGCATTTGATTTTTCAAAATGGTAGTTACATTTTAAGAGTTCTAAATTGCTGGAAGAATACCGTGCAGATGTTCGTGTCTGAAGAGATTACGTGGTGGCTTCATGAGATCGTCCTCTTTTAGCTTGCCTCTTGTAAGGGAGTTCCGCAGCATAGCTATACAAAGACCAACAGTAATCCGCATGCATTGCTTCATTCCAATGGCCCTGATATCTTTGTTCCATTACAGAAATGTCCTGATGGAATCTTTCTCCAACAGCTCCACAACTAGGAGGGAAAAAGTAGGAGTGGAGAAAATGGATTTTAAAGGAAATGTCACATCCAAGGTTATGATACTTTTGCAGGAGCACTGTCACCAAATGCGTGTAGTTATTATCTCTTCTGTTGCCTAAAAATCCATGAGCTCTTGAAGGCTTCCCAAGCTTCCTTTTCTTTCCCTTCCAAAACTTGGTCAAAGCACCTTGGTCAAAGTATCTTTCACAAGTACTCAAATTTATGGCCTGGCAAAAATGCCTTCCTTAACTTTTACATCACTTAATTTCGGAAATTTCTCTGTAATGTACTTAAAAGTCCGCCCTTCTTGGTTCATACCTTTGACAAATTTTTTCATCAAACCAGGGGTGGAAGTAGAATATCTTTTGGGTCCACGAGAGGCTTGGTAACGACATTTTCTGCTAGGGTTAAGATTTCTTGCAGGCCAGTCTCCTTTAATATAATACAATTTCCTATCTATGCTGCCCCACATACATAAGGAGCAGCAATGTTTTATGTAACCCAGTTGCGTTTCTAAGAGTATGGCAATGACTTTTAGATCACCACAGATTTTGCATTTGTGTTCATGATATTTGAGTGAGTTCAAGAGGGCTCACATATTTGCATATGTCTTCTTCATGTGAACTGCATGACCAACAGGAATAGAAGAAAGAAGGTTGTCATTTTGAAGTAACACAGCTTTCAAACTAACGTTGGAGGTCTATGAATAGCCTTCATGAAGTTGGATCATGGTTCAAATAAAAAGGTTTCATCAAGCCGTTAATGTCGCAGCGAACAACAAGATTATTTTTCTTCTCGAAAAAGGGAAAAGGGAAGTCACAGTTCCCTGTGACATTTTCTGAACTGTGAGATTCTGACATTACTTTCGAGAAAATTCCATTGCTGTAGTCGAGACCCAACAATTTCTGCCATCTCCTTTGACAGGCTTACAGCAGAAACAGATAATTACAGCAGAAACTATATGAAACTCATAGTCACATCAACAGTAACTATGTTTATGGCTTACAAACAGTTGAAGAGCATTTATGTTTTGACAGGTGTACCAACTCTCCCCCAACAAAATTTCCCCAAATTGAAAATGTTGGCTCTAAAAAATGAAATGTCACTTTATCTCCAAAGCAAGAGCTAATCTGTCATTTTTATTGTGATTATTTAATTCAGCAGATGGAAATACATATGAATTGACTATTTTTGATCCCGAAAAAATTTTATTGTTGTCCAGTGTTATCAAAGATTCATAAATTTTCCATTGAAGAGAAGGTTAATACTGACAAATGATGTTTTACAGGAGAAAACATCTGCTGGAACAATTGAGGACTGGAATCAATGAGATATATGTTGTTTCAAAGATGGGAGTTGGAAAGAAAACTGGAGTCTATAATTGCTTTTGAGTTATATACCAGTGTAAATACAAAAACCATTTTCATAAGAAGCAAAAAACAATTTTTTAAACAGTACTGATTTACCAATAGCTTGTTTACCATAAGCCTCGACAAGCATTCAATGCAATTCTACAGCAGTTTTCTTTAATTGGAAACAGGAAACTAATGCTGTCGGCAAATTGTACTTTACAAGCAAATTGTACTTTACAATGTTAAAATATAAATAAACCCTTTTAGAAAAAATAAAAAATACAGAAAAAATAAATGTAAATTATTCTTAACAGTAAAATCTGTGTTTCTGTTGAAAAAAAAAGAAAAAAGAAAGTCAAATCTATAATAAGTATTTAGGTTATGAGCTATATGTGAATATGTTATTATAAATAATATGTAATTTTACATAAAAGGTTAGCTGGTATCTGACTGTTTTTGGGACAGGAATTGGAATAGGAGGGTTTTGAATGTAGATAAGGATGAAGAATGTCGAATTTTGATAGGAAGGGAATTTCAGAAACTAACGGAACGAGCAATAAAGGAGTTTTGGAACGAAGCAGATCTGTGAGAAGGAATGTAAAGGTCAGAAGGTCGAGATCTTGTGGAGAGGGAGTGGACTGAGGGCTTGAATTGGAGAAGATAGGACAACTAATTCTGTTGAAAGCGAGAATACCAAGCGGGCATTATTTCTTAATTCATGTGATGAAGAGGTGTAAAGCTGATATTGAGTTTGAGTGTACCAAAAAAACCCAACAGTATACCACATTCTGAGCTAATTTTGAAGCTGAACAAACATTTTAAAAAGTCGGATGCAGGATTTAGTGCTCGATTCTAATTTTATAATGCACAAGGGAAAAATAAAGAGACTATTCAAGTTTGGTTGGCTAGAGTTCAGAGTTTGGCTGGGCATTGCTACTT